AATGTGTGGGGAAATAGCAAGCTTGTGGGGAGTGGAGGCTGATGAAGTAGCCAGGCCATCGTTTACCCGTCCTGATGGCCTCTACATCCCCAGCGGTGACATTTTTGCTGCAATTACTTAAGAAACAAAAGCAAAAACAACAACAAAAAAACCCAAGTTCATAGTGCCTCCCCCAGTCATTTTTATATTTATTCTCCATGAATGAAGAGGCAAGATGCGTCCCAATGGACTACGGTCAGAGTATCACTTCTCCCTAGTGACGTGGAGCTGAGGACGAAGGGGAGATGTGCAGATCCCGGGGCCCACCTGAGCCTGAACCTCACCCCTCCTGGTCTCCAGCCACGGCACCTCCCTCCCAGTCCCCACCCTAAACTTACCTTCCATTCCACGCACCACCTCCCAGCTGGGATTCCTGTTACATTTTTCATCTTCCAGGTTCCTTCATTGGCTCCGTCTTTGGCTCCACCCCCTCGTCTCCTTCTTGTGGGGCTGGGGATGGAACTCGGGGCCTTGTGTTAGGCAGGCCCCTCTGTTGCCGAGTCACATCTGCCTCCACGAGTGGGTTCTGGACCGGTGCTCCTCCCCTGAGCCATGCTCAAACCTTCTCTGCCTCCCCAGCTTTCGTAGAGCGAGCGCTACCCCCTCCACCTTCTTCCCAGCCCTCTCCCTATTTTATAGATGGGCAAACAGAGGCCCAGGGAGGTGAAGGGACTTTCCAGGCCACAGGCTCATGCACTGGAGTGCTCTGGCCCCAGAGGCCAGTTCCTAATAGTGACATATGTGACATGACTGCAGCTTGTGACCCTGCCCAGTGGACCCCCAGCCAGGTGTCGCTTAGTAGCTACCCAGAGAGCCCCAGGTCCAGCCGGAGTCAGGCCTTGCCCCGCACCCCCTCCCTCTTTGCCTGGGAACTGCAGGAAGGTGCATCCTGCCCCGGCTTGGACCTCTCAGGGATGCGGTGAGAGTCTGGGGGGGGGGGCTGTTTTCTGGGAGAGGATAAGTTCTGCTAATACTGTGGGAGTCAGATAGCTTCTGTCGTCCCCGGATGTATGTGCAGGACAGCAGCCTAGCCTGGTGTGAGCTGGGTGCTCACAGATACCAGCTGCAACTCTACCCTGCCCTCTTCTGTGTCAGGCGTGTCAGAGTGTCGTCCACGTGCGCGTGCGCGTGTGTGCGCATGCGTGCGTGTATGTGTGTGTGTGTGTGTGCGCGCGCGCATGTGCACATGTGTGCACGTGCGTGTGTGTATGTGTGTGTGTGTGTGTGTGTGTGTGTCCCGCTCTGAGCTGCCTGGCGCAGCAGTGAGGCCGCAGCGGCGGGGCTGGGCTCACGGGTCTGGGCTTGCTGGTATCCGATTATGCCCTGATAAATATAGGCTCCAAGAAATCAGGAAAGCATACCCAGTGACCGCTTTCCAGAGTGAGGCCACCCCGAGTGACTCTGGCTTGGTGCCAGGCCTGAAGTGGTGGTAGGGTCTTGGGGAAGTTCTGGGCCCCTTTCTGTGGTGCCTTCCAAGCAGGGGTGTCCAGGGGCCTCTCAGGGGGTTCTGAGTAAGAACCTCTCTCTGTCCTGGGAGGACGGAGGACAGAGGCCGTGGCCTCTCTGAGGGAAGTGCTCAGGGCCGTAACGGTCAGCTCTCTCCCAACACCACACTAGTCGTGACAGGAAGAGAGTGTGGGTCCTTCCCAGTGAGGGAGATGGGAGACAAGGCTGCATGGCTGTCTGTGGAGGTAATGGCTGCCGGTGACATCGCCAGGTGAGAGTCCTATAGTTGACCACAAGCCCTCCTGCTGAGTGGTGGTGGGGTGTAGTCTCTGCCCCTGCCATGCTGAGTAGTGGTGGGGTGTCATCTCTGCCCCTGTCCTGCTGAGTGGTGGTGGGGTACAGTCTCTGCCCCAGCTCTGCTGAGTGGTGGTGGGGTGCAGTCTCTGCCCCTGCCCTGTCCACTTTGGTGACACTCTTGATTAGCAGGAGGCAATGGGAGCCACATTCCCGGACATTCAAAGCTTGATCACAGGAAGACTTCCTGCTGCCCCTGGCTTCCTGGGATACTTGTTGGAAGCCATCTGCTGTGACATGAAAAGCCCAGAACACCTCCAGAGATCCAGGTCCCAGGCATGCTAAGTGCCATCAGCACATGCCTGGCAGCTCGTGGGCAACCGGTCCTGGAAGGGTGGCCACCTCCAGGGGGACCTCTAGTGTCACGCAGGATCGAGTGGAGCCTGCCTGGGTTTGCAGATTCCTGAGTGGAGCTGATGACTGTGGTCATTTTAAGCCGCAGAGGACCGGGGGAGGTTTGTTATGTAGCAACAGACGCTTCGCAAAGCCAGACTGTCAGCAAAGCTTGTCAGCTCCACCTTCTAAATATACCCACACTCCCATCACCACCCTCCCCACCCAACTGCCAGTGCTCGCTGTGAGATTCCAGCAGCCTCCAGGCAGGCATCCCCTCCCTCGCCTGACCACTTGCTCCTGTGAAGGCTCGAGTCAGATCCTATCCCTCTGCTCCGCCTTTGGCAGCTTCCCCTTGTATGACCTTGTCCAGTCCTTCCTGTGGTCAGATGCCTCCCAGCCCTCATTCCCTCATCCTCTTTTGGCCTCTCTTCTGGTGAGCCCTGGACCATCCAAGTTCACTGCTGCCCAGGGGCCCTTGTGCCCACGGCTGGCTGAGCCTGCAGCTTCTACGCTTCCTCCATCCCAAGTCTGGTCAAATCTCCCTGGAAGGACCTCCTGGCTGCTCTCCTCCCCACTCCCTGTTCTGCTGTGGTTTTCTCTGTTGCATTTCACTTAATTGTCATTCTATCCTTGATCTTAGCCAAAGCTGGAATGAGACAACTCTCCTCATACTATATATTTACTCTGTTAGTACAGATTTCCAGGCAGCAAGTGTGAAGAGTCCACAGAAAGAGAGTCCGACTGTGTTGTAACCCAGTTCTGACGTAAAGAATGGGGGAGCAGAGGCAGGCAGCCCTCTAGGGCTTGGTAGCCCATCATCTTAGCCTGTCCGGTGAGCTCCAGGCTGTTGGGCCCCAGCCCCCACAGGGTCTCTGTGAGTTGCCTGTCAGCCAATAACCACAGGTGCATCCTGTTTTCTAGTCCTGGCTGACAGCCCCGGCCCTGCCCCACTGGCATCAACCTCTAATGATGAAAACACGAACTCTTACACCTGGGGTTTCTCCACCGTGCTGTAAGTCTGTATGTAAGGCTGCTCCCTGCTTGCAACAAGACACACAGACACGCAGACACACAGATACACACACACTCTCTTAGCACAAACAGCTAGACATCTTGTCTTTCATTTAAATCTCCAGGCTGTCTCCCGATACATTAAACTTGCTCGTGGCACAGTGGGGACACCATCTTGAAAGGGTGTGTGTGTGGAGAGCTCACTCAGTTGTTCAGAGCACTGGCTACTCTTCTAGAGGACATGGGTTTGCTTCCCAACACCCACATGATGACTCACCAACATCTGTAACTCCAGCTCTAGCAGATCCATCACCCTCTTCTGGCTTCCTCTGACATCTGCATCCATACACACACACACACACACACACACACACACACACACACACACACACACACACACACACACACACACACACACAGAGAGAGAGAGAGAGAGAGAGAGAGAGAGAGAGAGAGAGAGAGAGAGAGAGAGAGAGAGAGAGAGAGATCTTATAGACCTGGTGCTTTGTCATCTCGGAGGCAGGCACCCGGTAGGAGGGGCTTCTTGTGCTTGCTTTACTGGGAAGTTCTAAGCACTGAACTCAGCATCTGGCCTACAGCGGGTGTTAAGCTTACGGTAGATGGGCTGGGGGCTTGAAGTTTGGTTTGCTGTCCTGCAGACTGTGGTTCCCACAGTCTCCTGAGGCCTTGGGCTGGGGTCACAGAACAGAGAGAACCCTGTGGCAGGCTCAGGGGGCTCAGGCTGCACTGCCATGAAGGCCCCGCCCCTAACACCTGCTGTCTCCCCCAGACTTACCTGCCTTGGTCCTTTGTACCTACAGACGGAGGCTCTTGCCTCAGTGTCTTTCCACCGTCTCCCCTGTAGACCCTTCGCACTCGGGCACCTAAGCTTGCCAAGCACCCTTAGAATCTGTGAGGGCACAGTGGCGGGCAGAGTGTGCCCAGGGCAGGGAAGCCAGGGAATGAGACTTGAGTTCTCCTTGGAGGCAACGCCTGGTTCTAGGTTTCTTTACTTGGATCCCAGAGCCCCATCCCACCCCGAGACAGTTCACCCTGAATTCTGAGGCGTCTTGCATTTGAACACCCTGTGGGAAGTTCATTTCTTTCTTTCTTTTTCTTCTTTCTTTATTTCTTTCTTTCTTTCTTTCTTTCTTTTTCCTTTTTCTTTTCTTTTCTTTTTTTTTGAGACAGTTTCTGCTATGTATCCCTGACTGGCCTCTGACTCTGAGATCTGCCTTCCTCTGTGGTATTACAGGCATGCCACCATGCCTGGCCCTGCTTCACTAGCTTAGGCAAAGGACGACACTGGACTCTGCTCCTCCTGCTTCTGTGTCTGAGTGTTGGAATGACAGACTGCACCACCAGGCCTGGTCTGTGCAGTGCCTGGGGTGGAACCCAGGGCTTTGTGCTCCTAGGCAAGCACTCCACCAACTGAGCCACATCCCAAGCCCCAACAACATTTAAACCGCTTCCCCTGGCTCTGAAGCCTGAAGTCTTTCTCCCCACGCAGGCTGAGCCACTGGCTTCCCTGCTGGGAGCTAGCCCAGCTTCCAGCCACTTTGATTCGGGCTTCAGAAGGCAGGTTGTGGATTCTGTCTGCGTCTGCAGGGTAAACCTTGGCCCGGAGTCTCCAAAAATAAACCTCAGTTTAGCTTTCCAGAACACACAGTTTCTTGTCTTTGTCTGTTTGAGGAGGCTTGGGCACCGGAGCTGGGTAGATGAACCTGGGACAGACGCAGAGTAGCCCTGGGTCCAAAGCACACTCCCCGTCAGTCTGAGGTAGAGGGTTTAAGAAGAGCTGTTATTTCACTTACCTCGAAGGCAGAGATGTTGGGGGCTGGACTAGGAAGGAGGTCTGTAGCTCAGCGGCAGAGCAGGGTCACACAGGTGTGCACATCTGGAGTAGGGCGGCAGCCTGGGGAGTCAGCTCCTCCCTCGGAAGCCAGGCGTTTGTGGCCCTGTGGGTTTGTTCCCTGCAGAAGAAAAGTAGCAGGGTTTGCTCAGCATCCTCAGGCTGAAGGCTCCCATCTCCCCAGGGACGAGGCAGAGGACAGTCAAGCAGCAGTGGTATCTGCAGAAACTGGAGGCGGCAGCGGTGAGTCAGGGACTTGTGCCCAGAGAGTAACAACCGAGTAACCAACTGCAAGCCCGGCCTGGCCTGTCAGCTCAGCGCAGACGCGAGACCTCAGGCCCTGTTGCACTAATTCAAGACCCCAAGAACCAGCAAGCAGAGCATTGACCGCTCCTGTGCCCGCCCCCCCTCAGGTACAGGGATGATGCCTTCTCCCTTGGCTCTCTGAGAGGGGAACAGACACTGGCGTCGGGAGCTGCAAGAGCATTCCCAGAGGGCAGGGTGAAGTGTCAGAAACGGGCAGGGGACAACAAGCCACCAGACAGGGGCTTGGGGAGACGGAACAGTGGGTGACAGTACTTGCTCTGTACGCATGAGGGCCTGAGTCTGAATTCAGAACTCACGTTGAAAGCTGGGCAAGGCTGCGCCTGGACGCCAGCACTGAGGAGGTGGGGACAGGTGAACCCCAGGAGCCGGCTGGGCAGCTAGCACAGCCCCCGAGACGAGGCTGCAGTGCAGGGGGAGAACCCTCCTCAAGGTGAGGATCTGGAGCAATAGAGGTCGCCTGATGTCTTACACATGTGCGAAGTGCACATGCCCCCCCCCCCCCCGTGGCACACTTCCTCTAGCAAGACCACACCTCCTAATCCTGCTCAAGGAGTTCCGCTGCCTGGTGACTAAGCGTTCAAATGTCTGCGCCTATGGGAGTTGGAGCCTTTCTCAGTCACCACATCCTCCCTGAAGACTCTCCCTGAAGAAAGCCGTTTCCCAGCCGCCCGGTCTGGTTCTCACAAAACAAGATCAGCTTCCTTTGTAGCTCAGAAGTTACCAGCATGGCTGTTTGTTACCCTGGGAGCCCCTTGTCTGTCATTGCATGGGCAGGGGGGTCCAGGCATGGGGCTGCACACAGCCAGGAGGGGGACGCAGGCATGGGGCTGCACACAGCCAGGAGGGGGACGCAGGCACGGGGCTGCACACAGCCAGGAGGGGGACGCAGGCATGGGGCTGCACACAGCCAGGAGGGGGGTCCAGGCATGGGGCTGCACACAGCCAGGAGGGGGATCCAGGCATGGGGCTGCACACAGCCAGGAGGGGGGTCCAGGCATGGGGCTGCCTCTGCTGTCAGACAGGGTCTCCATGATGGAGAACAAGCTTCCTTAGTTCTATCCTAGACTGAGCTGTGTGGCCCTGATGATGTCCTGAGAGATGAAGATCTGGGGACCACACTGGGCTCCTCACACCCATGTTCACACCAGGTTCCTCACACCCATGTTCACACCGGGCTCCTCCTCACGCCCATGTTCACACCGGGCTCCTCCTCATGCCCAGGTTCACACCGGGCTCCTCCTCACACCCAGGTCCACACCGGGCTCCTCCTCACACCCATGTTCACACCGGGCTCCTCCTCACACCCAGGTTCACACCGGGCTCCTCCTCACACCCAGGTTCACACCGGGCTCCTCCTCACACCCAGGTCCACACCGGGCTCCTCCTCACACCCAGGTTCACACCCGGCTCCTCACGCCCAGGTCCACACCGGGCTCCTCCTCACACCCAGGTTCAAACCGGGCTCCTCACGCCCAGGTTCACACCGGGCTCCTCACACCCAGGTCCACACCGGGCTCCTCCTCACACCCAGGTTCACACCGGGCTCCTCCTCACACCCATGTTCACACCGGGCTCCTCCTCACACCCAGGTTCACACCGGGCTCCTCCTCACACCCAGGTTCACACCGGGCTCCTCCTCACACCCATGTTCACACCGGGCTCCTCCTCACACCCAGGTCCACACCGGGCTCCTCCTCACACCCATGTTCACACCGGGCTCCTCCTCACACCCAGGTTCACACCGGGCTCCTCACACCCAGGTTCACACCGGGCTCCTCCTCACACCCATGTTCACACCAGGCTCCGCACGCCCAGGTTCACACCCGGCTCCTCACGCCCAGGTTCACACCGGGCTCCCCACGCCCAGGTTCACACCGGGCTCCTCCTCACGCCCAGGTTCACACCGGGCTCCTCCTCACGCCCAGGTTCACACCGGGCTCCTCACGCCCAGGTTCCACAGGGCTCTGTGGCTTCAGGCGGCTCATCTCTAATTTGAGGGGTTAACAATGGCCAGTGCTTACACGGTTCTCTGTGTCCACTCCTCGTTTCCCACTACTGTGACTGCCTCCATCCGCCCATCCTTACACCCGGAGGGCAGGTCGACTCAGCTGCCTGTGGTGCCCTCTCCTTGACTACCGGAAGGAATGAGGGGTCAGTAAGTGTATGTCCTGGGTCATTCCATTGAATAAGCTGACAAAAGCTATCAGAAGATCTATCGTTTAACGGGAGATTAAAAATCAACAAGAGCAGCCAGGTTCTGACCCGGAGTCTCAGTTCTTAATTTAATTTCTTTTGCTACTCAGATCAGAACATTAAAAAATATTAAAAGTGGCCATATTTGCTCAAGGGTTTTCTTCTTTAAACCATTAATTGATCTGGTCAAAGCTTTTCCATCAGCTATTTCTTCAGGACCAGGCTTCTCATTTTAAGTCTCCTGTGTCTCTCACAGGGAGGGGCCAGGCCTCAGAGGACAGGAGCCTCCTACAGGGCCCCTGGTTCCCACAGGCCAGTGAATGCTGCCATTCCAAAATCAGAGAGAGGGGCCTCTCCCAGCTCTGCACCTGATGGGTCAGAGCCAGGGTGTCCAAAGCCTTGGGCTTGCACCCCACAGGGGTCAACCTGCCCCCCCCAGTCCCCGTGGCTTACAGATGTCCCCTGAGGCACCCGCTGCCGTCTGCAGTGCTGACCGCGGACCCCCACTGTCACAGCTCAGGATTGCTCTGCTCTGCATACACCAAATGTAATGTCTTTGGTTGCCTTCTGTTGTAAAGAGCACAGAGCCACACCCCGGGAGCTACAGGCCAGTGGCTTCATTTTGGCTAGTGAGTGATCCAGGGCCTATCTGGTGGTGGCTTCTTCTGACAGTGCAGGGCACTGCATGGCCACAGACAGGGACACTGGACCTCCTAACAGTTTGTGAAGTATGAGATTCGACCCCTCTGGGGAAGCTGACGAGGGGCCAGCACTACCTTGGTACCCTGACTTAGGAACACAACGTGTCCTGGGAGGAGGGGACCCTGGCTGCTGTGTGCTGGGGTGCAGATCCCAGAGACAGTCTCACCTGTGCGAGGCAAGCTGAGGGATCTGGCATGTCAGAGCCAACACCATCGTCAACAATCTCAGCCTTCATAAGTCAGAGAGAGAGGAAATAGAATGGGGACCACTCGGAAATGGAATTCTTGACAGCGGTTTAAAATTAATGAACTCACAATGCAAGTCATCAAGATAGATTAAATGCACACACCCGGTGTTGGCTGAGAGAGAGAGTGTGGGCCCTACCAAGCTGCTGGCTGTTTATTAAGATGTAAAAATGTACCTACAGCATTAGGCATTGCTTATGGATGCACACATAGGTAGTAAATATTTAAAAGCACACAGGGGAATAATACTGAGTGGCTACCACTGGAGAGGGAGGGGACAGGAGGCAGAGGATTGCCCCGCATGCACAATGCTTGGAAATACCGTTTGTGTGAGCCCATAAGTGCATGCATATTGTATGCATACATATTTATCTAATGGTTGGCTTTTCACTTTCTATTTTATAATGAGCATGGGAACATGGTTCGCAATGATGGCAGAGTCCCCAGTCTGGACGCGCTGTGATTTATGAGTGCACATTCTGTTGTCACATGAACACTGCTCCTCTATTTTCTCATTGTCTTTATAAATACAGGTTATTTTCTTGAAACACGAAGCTGGATTGTGGGGTCAGAGATCTGATTTTTCTGTTTTTCTTTTTCTTTTTTCTTTTTTTTTTTTAGAAAAAGATTTACTCTCCTCCTCCTCCTCCTTCTCTTTTTGTTTCCCTGGCTGTCCTGGAACTTGCTCTGTAGACCAGACTGGCCTTGAACTCAGGTATTCTGCCTTTGCCTCCTGAGTGCTGGATTAAAGGGGTGCACTACTACACTTGAATTTCTTTGATTTTTTCCTTATGTGTATCCCCGCATGTCTGCCACTTATGTGTGGGCACCACACAGGGCGCTGGAGGCCCTGGAACTGGAGTTATGGACACCTCTGAGCTGCCCGACACAGGTGCTGGGAAGCTAGGGTCCGTCTGTCCTCTGCAAGAGCAGCAAGAGCCGGTAGCACGGAGTCTCCCTCTGTTTCCTCTGCTCTCTCACAGCTCCCACAAAGGGAACTGCAGAGAGGAAGACTTGCTTTCCCTCGTGGCTGCATCGTGCCGCTCTCTGTGGCGGGATGCTGTGGACAGAGCACAGGGCTGTTGATCGGAACGCATCCACAAGAAGCAGAGGGGATGCTGGGTGCAGCGGGCTTTTCATTCCAGGGTCCAGGCCCATGGTGTGGAAGAGCTCAATTCAGGTTGCCACTCCCAACCTCAGGTAAACTCTACAACACCCTGACACGTGTGGCCTGAGATGTGACTTTTTACGGTTAACCATCGCTGGTGACACAGCTCAGGTGGCTGGAGGTCCAGTTTGCTTCCAGCATCTACTAAGCTGGGTGTGGCCGCTCACTCTTGAAATCTCAATGCTCGGAGTTCAAGGTCACCCTCAGCTGCCTAGGGAGCTTGAGGGCCAGCGACCCTGTCTCAAACAAACCAAAAACCAAAATAAAAACAAGAACAAAACATTATTAGGAAATTCCATTGTCTACATGTATGAAATGCTTAACAAATAATGAAAGAAGAAAAATAAAAGGATGATGACATGAAACCAAACCAAACCAAACCCCCAGTCCTTACTGTCTCACTTTTCTGGTGCTCCAATGACAAATTATAACCAGCTCGTGTTTTCACAATCCAGGAAGCCAGAAGTCCTTACCAAGGTGTTAGCACGGCGGAGCTCCTCTACACTCTAGAAGGACATTCCCCCTTGTCTCCTCAGAACATGGCAGAGCTCCTAGGCACACTCT